GGAACAAGATGCTAATAATGAAAGTTGAATAACAGCTGATGCTTTTATCCTGATGCTCAGACTTCAGACTCCACATCTCTTTCCAAAACACTGGAGAAGTTGATATCAAACTTCCAGATAGGGCTTCACTACCTCAGCATCAGCTCCTATGAATCGAGTAGAACGTGCCAAAGCCAGACAAACTACTCTCTGATTGCTGGATCATTCTTTGAGCTCACTTACAGCATGTATATTTTCTCAGAGGAGCCCGAGATCGCACCTTCAACCCTACGATTATTAAGCAGGCGAACTCATAGCATATGCTGGGTAACACAGTAGTTTGTGCATGTGCACTGAAAGTAGCTCGTGTATAATTGCTGCAACTGTGATTTAACATGACCTTTTACCTGCTTCGGCAGATACAACAAGGTTTTTATAGCGGCTCCGTTCCCACAAGTCATCAGCGTTTCATTGTTCATGTGATTAGACACAGCGGAGGCCAAGCATCACAATTGCTATCTGTTTCGCATGAGCAGCCATTAAGTCATCATCGCCTCACAATGACCTATGATTTCCAGTAATGATTTATGATTTCAGTGAGTCATTTTCTACGAGTCTCTTTTAGTTAGAGATGCAATTACTTGATCGTACTTTATCTTGAAGTTACTTGTAAATTAGAGTCGGTTTCAAAGTTCCTGCTGCGATACAGCGCAAATATAAAATGGGGAGGGGGAAAAAGTGTTCATTAAAGCGCCTAACGCACCAAACCTCAAAAGAACTTGACAGGAAAGAGCAAAAAAAAGAGAAAAAGAAAAGAAAGGAGGGTGGTGGGGATGTGTCATAAAGACGAGGAAGGCGAGGGAGGGGGGGTACGCTTTGATCAGGAGCACTCCTCATAGCTCTCCTGTCTTCTTACACATCCATAATATATCTCTGCACACATTCCAGTCTCTTATTAACAAGGCAGTGCCATTTCATCCCGGAGGCAGGTATTGAATTTTCAAAAAAGGTAGAAAAGAAAGAAGGCAAATTTGAAACACGCTCTGCTCTTGTCTGAGGAGTAAAGAAAAAAAACGCACACAAAAAAACAAAGCGAGACGCACAGAGTTTGCGATTCAATATATACACTCCCGCTTTAAATTAAATTCATCGATGTTGCTTGTAACAAAAGCGGGGATAATATCAGACATTGGTAAATATTTATTCTAAAAGTGGCGGGCTTAGGAAATGAGAGGGCTGCCGATGCCGCGCTTCTCTCTCATGGGAAAGCATGTTTGTCTGTGACAGTCATAAATATGTATCATGCTGTGAGAAGACAGTGATTGTAATCTCACAGCTGCCTTTTGTTGAGCATATGAGGCCCGAGAAAAGCCCCCGTTGATGGCGCACAAAGGCAAAATTAAAAGTTGCACCTTCTCCTCGGATTGGGGTACGTCGCTCAGCGGCAAGTGGCGTGCTGCTTAATTAGGATGGAAACAAATTCCTCACGAGGGAGGAATACCCCTCTTCCCTGCTCTCACTTGGTCTAATTTATGGAAAGGTAAATATTCAAGGGTCGCTTTTCAGCCGTGCCGATTAAAGCATGCTTGAGCGTAGCGACACAGAATGTGTTGTGAATGCAAAGCTTCTAATCCAATTCACACTACTCTGTGAAATGAAACTTGTTTGTACTAGTAGATAGCTGTGGCAGTGCATCTTTACCCAGGGGTGTCAAGTAGTTCTTCAAACCTCAGAATAACTAGGCAGCGCTTGTAAAAGTGCACCGAAAGCCACTTGAATAAGGTGGCCTGTCATTTGTGATGCACTCCAGTGTACTGTAGCGGCGAGCACTGTGACGTATTAGCGCTTGACAGACGTGCTCTTCAGTGCAAGAGCCCCTTTTGCTTTTGACTAAAGCTTGTTTTTATGTCTGCCCCTTCCTGCAGCTCTGAAGGATCCCTGTACCGAGGTGGCCTGCAGCTACGGCAGCACCTGTGTCCAGTCTTCAGACGGCTTGTCGGCAAAGTGCATGTGCCCCCTCGGCTGCGAGGGCAAGCCCAAGCAAGTAGTGTGTGGTAGTGATGGAAAGGACTATGTGAATGAGTGCGAGCTCCATCAACATGCCTGCAAGAACAAGAAGAACATTCGTGTGCAGTACCAAGGACACTGCGGTAAGCTCTCGTTGTGTTTTCTGTGTTTCTGTTTTTTGTAACACTGATTTTGAGCACAGGTAATATTGAAGAGTTCCCATCACAGTTTATTTTCTTTCCCAACCCAACTCCGCCCTATTTTGCTGTAGCAGGGAGATGTCCCAGAGTCACACTATCAAATATAAATTGTTGCAAAATATGGAAATACAAAAAAAAAACCCTGATAGTATCAAAAATTACATTTCCAATGGTGAAAATGTCATTTTTGTTGAGATTTTTTGTTTTAAATTGTCAGAAAACCTTTTCTTCCCTTTCCACTGTTCCCTACCTCTTCCTTTTGTGTTCCTCTATCACATACCCTGCTTATTTAAGGCAGACCTCCACTCTAATTCTCTAATTCATTCAGGTTGCTTTTCCCCACACAGGTTCTCCTACGGTGCAGATTGATGTGTTCTTTAAATAGGTTTTAAGAGCAGTTTTTTGTGTTGTTTTTGGCTCATCCTTGTTCTCATCAGGCAATTGTTGTTTACTCTCAAGGCGCTCGACTATTTAGCTCTTTTTATTCTGTGGCGAGGAAGACGGAGGGAAAGACTACAGATAGTAACTTTGTCTTTTAGCAGCAGGAGCCTCCAGGAGACAGAGCGGGTGGTAGGCAACGAGAGATGGATGTGTTTGTCCACAGGCAGAAGGTTGGTCGTATAAATCCAACGTGAGTCGGCCAAAGTGACCCGGGTTGCACCGTCTCCCCTGGGGACGGCGTCAGCTCAGGGGACTGGTTGGCCCTGATGGTGCTTTAAATCTTCCTGCAGCCATTTCAACTGAGCATTGGCTATTTCAACTTGCTAGCCCGCGCCAGGCAAATGCTGTTGATTTATCTGCACTGCTAGTTTTTACAGAAAACAACCTATTCTTTTTGTAATCACCCCACTTGCTCAGCTAGAGGAAAAGCATGGACTCTAGAAGCAGTTCTTCTCGCTTAATGGGTAGTAATGGTCTTTCTCTCAGATAATGGTCTGGCTGGCGGGTCAGGCACTGCGTCATGCAGAGACGCTGCGTGCATTACGATAAAACCCCTGTTTGCTCAGTTGCAAGTCTCTGCAAGCCTTTGTATTGTGCACACAGAAAACAATCCGAGGCCTGGCCTATGGTCACTCCGCCTCCCACCCCCACGCAGCCAAAGCGCTCCGTCCCTTTTTCTGTCCCAGCATTGTCACTCTTTGTATTGCTGCCAGAGGTCTCTGGAAACCATTCTCCCTTATTCTCTGTTTCTCATTCTCTTTCTACTCCTTTCCCGATGATAGGGTGTTTCATCCTTGGTGTGTTTTGAATGACTCGCCGGCAGCTTGGCAGTGATTTAATATGTCACGGTGCTACATAAATCCTTTGTCTTCCCACATGCTGAAAGCGTGGCGAGCAGGATAAAGCCTGGGCTCCTGTTTCAAGGAGTAACACCCCCATCACACACATCCACAAACCAATTCCATTATGATCACGGACTGATAGGGCCAAGCGTGCCAGACCAACACTCCCCTGGAAGGAAGGAGGTGCGAGAGAGCAAATCAAACCGATCGTCTCTTCATCTGTTTCCTTGTCTCCCCTTCACATCCAAGGTCCTACTCTGAGCTGCTCTCAGCTGCCGGGCCACTGATAATATCTGTGAAGCAGATATTCCTCTTCTCTTCTCTTCTCAGCTGACATATCATAGCTATAAGACTGTTCGCCGCTAATTAAAAGATGACTTACCAACACTTTATCTAACAGGACTTAAAAAGTTTTCTTTGAAAGGAGTTGCCAGTTTGAACACAATTAATCCAGACTGTGCTGCTTTTTTCTTTTGCCAGTCAAGCGTTGTTCACATTTTTTCCGCAGAACCAAAAATGATCACAGATGTTTTAGATTATGTTCCCTCGGAGTCTAATTACAGTTTTTCACAAATTCTAAGACACATTTTCTGAAACCTTATGGCCTTTTCTCCAAGCTTTAAACATAAGAACCAATTTTCAAACTACTTTCATAAAACCTTTGACTCTTCTAAGAAAAAACACACACACACAAAAATGCATGAAAAGCTCAAAACTACACAATATTTTTAGATAATTTGCTGTCAAAAATAATAACACTACTGAGCATTACAGTACAACAGAAATGAGGAAACACAGTCTCAGCTTTCTGGTAATTTCTTGAAGTATCGTCAGAAATAGTTCTCCAAACTTCTTGAAGGACATTCAAAGCTCTTCTTTGGATCTTGGTTTGTTTTGTTCTTTGTTTGGCATCATTGTCGTGCTGAAAAATTAAGTTTTTCCAAATCAGATGCTTTCCACGTACATGGTGAATCAAACTCTCACAGTACTTTCCTGTGTTCATAGTTCCATCATTTGTTGTTAAGATCCTCGACGACACTGGATGAAATGTGGCACCAAACCATGACAGAGCCGCCACCATATTTTACAGATACATGTAGAAACTCATTGTTGCACCTTTATCCTGACCTATCTACATATTGACAATGATTTAAACCAAAATTTTTTAGTTTGTTAGTTTGGGTTCACCACTCTGTAGGAGCTTTGGTCCCTGTTTCTGTTGCTTTAGAATTGAGACCATTGAGACTATTTCTGATGAGGCTTCATTGAACAGTGGATGGATCAACTGTTCAATGAAGATCTAGACCGGGGGTAGGCAACTCCAGGCCTCGAGTGCCGGTGTCCTGCAGACTTTAGATCTGTCCTTGATCCACCAGATGAATCAAATTGCTAAATTACCTCCTCAACATGTCTTGAAGTTCTCCGGAGGCCTTGTAACGAACTAATCATTTGATTCAGGTGTGTTGATCCAGGGTGATATCTAAAGCCTGCAGGACACTGGCACTCGAGGCCTGGAGTTGCCTACCCCTGATCTAGACCTTTATATGGATCAACTAAAGGTCTAGATGCTTTCAGTGCCTCTGTCAGGCCTTTGCTGAAATATTTTTTTACATCTGCTAATTGTTCTCTTGGCCTCCACTTGTCCAGTTTCCTCAATTTCCTAAGGATACATTACACACCATACCAAGGTAATGCCAAGTTTTAGCTAATAAGTCTTTGGTAATCACCTTTTGGTGCAAAAATACAGCTTTTTTGTGTCAAACCATGTTATCTTTTTTGTAGATTTATTTAGAGTAAAAGAAATGAGAACTAATTATGTGTTTTTGTGACAAATTGACAAACCTTTCAGTCACCCAACACATTCCTATGTTACGTGTTCGGAAACAGGAGGAAACATGAAACCCGTTTGGATTCAATCTACACATATACATTTATTTTACTTTCTCATCATGAATCGCTTTGGAAAACACTATCTAACACGATTGTGGTTACGGTTAGGGATAAGGTTATGGTTAGGGCTCGAATACACGGCTGGAACGTGCGTTACCACCAGGAGCGTCATTCTATTGGATTTCATCCACAACCGGGCGCATGTCATAGGGACACGGAAGGTTACCTTTCGCGTTCCCATTGGACGCCTTGGGACGTGACAAATCGTCGGTATGTTACGTGTCGGGAATGAGAATGTTCTGGTAGACAACACAGGTTAATCCCTGGAGTTAGAAAATGAAACGAAAATGAGTGAAAAAGCAGCCAATGTTCAAAGAAAAAACTCTGGAAGATCTCCAGAAAGCCTGGAGAAGCACTGCTCAAGACCACCGTAAAGAAATTACAAGAGGGTGGTGGTTCAGCTCAGCGAGTTGATCAGGTGACCCACATGCTACAAGACTAAAGCAGAAGCCTGGGTATTAATCTAACCTGTCTTCTCCTTGTCTTTCTCTTCCAGCTTCTTCTCTTCACTCTGTTATTGCTAAAAAGCCCAAACGTGTATTTTTTTTTTTAAATGACAAAAAAAAGGTCTGGCCCCTTGGAAGCAAAATTGAACAAAAGACTTTTGAACTGTACCATAATTGTAAGGAGTAAGACTCATAAAAGCAATATTAGCTCTGTGTGTGAAAAATACCAAAGGCGGTAGTTTCTCAAGTAAGTCGTAGCTGGCGATGTATAAATCTCCTACTAGAGGTTTCTTCTGTTTGTTTTCATATTGCAGAAACATGGTCTATCACAGCTGCTCAGCAAAGATCATTGAAAATGACTGCTCTAAATTGTGCTCGTTCTTGTAGTCCTCCTCCTCCGCCTCTCAGCTTGTTGCCTTCCATTGTTAGTATCAACCTTCCACTTACCTTTGCTACCTAACATATACAAGTTTCATTACATAATTAGCAGCAACTATTCACATATTTGAGTCACCGTGTTTAAAAAAAAGAAAAAAACTACATTTCTGCTGTAGCTGTGTTTAATCTCTGCCTCCAGTGGTTAGTATTATGCATCACAGGTGCATCACTGTGGTGAAGTGTGAGAATTTCAGATTCAGAGAAAAGATTAAACGAGATCTGCAAATTGTGTCTAACTAGGTGAAAACTGTTCTGTCATTTATTCGATAAATGGAAGTTTGATAGCATGAATCGGAGAATGGGATTCTGTGCTTTAGCAAAAGTGACAAACTGTAATTCCTTCCCTGTCGTATTGTACTGTATGTTATGCTGTACTGCAGTACACATTCTTCACTCTTTCTCCACAGATCCGTGCAAAAACGTTTTGAACTGCCGCGTGGAGCCTCTCACCCGCCAGCCACTGAAATTTGTGCCACTCGAGTTGTGCCCCCTAAGCGATGAGCCTCTGTGTGCCAGTGATGGCCGGACGTACCCCAGTGAGTGCGCTATGAGGGCGACGGGCATCCAGAAAGGCGTCACGCTCAGAAAGATCCATGCAGGACAGTGCACAACGCTGGGTAAGGCCGAAGCTTGTTGTCTTTAAAGTGTGCAACCCTTTCAATACAGATCCCAGAACATCTTGGAAATACATTTAGTGATGCAAGGGATAAAATTACTCAAATGCCATGACTTATATAAAGGATTCTTTTATGCTGCGTGAAACAGAGATTTAGTAGACCTTGCCCTTCTCTCCCCGTTAATAATCTAAAAAAAAATGCAACATAATAAGATGAGATGAATTCAAATATTGTAATTTATCTGCGTGCAGGTATAACAGGGAGTAGCCATTTGTCTGTCTAGGTCAGAATTGTTGAACATAAGGCTCCGGGCTCTGAATCTGTCCCGCAAAGACTTCAATCTGGCTCACAGTTTCTGGTTTTGGAAAATGTGAAGGAGGGCATAGATTCTGGATTTTTTAATGAATTTTAATAGTTTTTACTTTAGCTTTTCTTGCTCACAGAGACCTCCCCCACGGCCAAAGGTTTGTATTCTTTCACTATGAGCTATAGAAAGTTCAGTTTCTACATTTCTTTCATTTCTACAGCAGCATTTATTTATCGTGTAGAAAAAGTAAGAGAAACTCTTAAAGTTGAAGTTTCATATATTAAGAAATCTCCTGCATTAAATGTGTAGTTAAATGAAAGGGCAGTTTCACTGGTCCGGCCCACTTAAGATCAAAACTGAGTGCATGTAGAATGAGTCAGACATCCCTGCTTTTGGTCTTTTGTTATTTGACTTATCCAAATTTCTGTTTCGTGGTATTTGTAAAATTCAACAATATAATATCTTTCTATATTGGTATGTGACTATGCAGAAGCTCACTTAAGTCTCATTTGTAGTCTGTTGTAGGCTGACCAATCGTATTTGAGCAGCCTTGACTTGGTGTCTTAAAAAGAGCAGACTTGCTGTAGATCAGGAGTGGGCAACTGCAGGCCTCAAGGGCTGGTGTCCTGCAGGTTTTAGATATCACCCTGGGTCAACACACCAGAATCACATGATTAGTTCACTACCAGGCCTCTGGAGAACTTCAGGACATGTTGAGGAGGTCATTTAGCCATTTAAATCAGCTGTGTTGGTTCAAGGACACATCTAAAACCTGCAGGACACCAGCTCTTGAGGCCTGGAGTTGCCCACCCCGCATCTACAGCAGGTTCTAGCAGTAGGAAAAGTGACATAAATTTAAATGTCTTGTGTATCTACTGATATTTCAAGACTTTACTTTACTTACTACACAACTGTCTGCTTGATTTCAGAATCTGCATGATGGGAAACTTTGTTTGCAAATGTATTACAAGGGCCAACTAATATTAATAGTGAAGTCTGTGTTTCAGTCTGGACAAACCACTCTATTGAAACCCCAGCAAGAAAAAGGACAACAAGGAAAGCAGCCAGTGAAAATGTTTGGCTTGTCGGGGTTATATATGCGTGGTATATATGGTATCAGTGAAACCTTGCTATCGTATTACCATATATTATGCAAGAATTGAAATACTTTCAGCCAATGTTTTAACACATACAGGTAGACTAGCATCAAAATCAAACTTTAAAGCTGTGTTCCAGAGGGATAAATTACTGCCGGGTCTCGGGGTCTGTATTATATCCATGCTAGCACTAGCCTCCTCCAGCCTGATAAGAGCCCCCAGGGCTGTTATCAGTGCTATTACAACATGAGGTTTAGGCCGTAGTCAACAAAGAGCTGTCAGCCTTTACTGTATGTCTGATAGCCATCGGAGGAAATCCAATTTTCCTGGTGTGTTGTTACTGAAGTCCCACAAAGCTACAGCTCTACGGGTTTACAGCAGTAATGTGCGGAGACCCCCACCCATGTATTAAAACCCCCTGACAACACCAAGGACAGATCACCGCAGGACGTCTTTTGGTATGGTCAGCAACGGAGGCTGATACAGCCTGGTTCTTCTCTCTGCTCCGCTTGACAGGCCGATGTTAGCGTCAGGGCTTAAAATTGCCCAAATCCCAGCCTAAGTAGCGTTGTGTGTGCTGTATGAGAGTGTGTGTGCATGCAGACATGTTCATGCATGTGAGCAATGGGATGGACTTTTTTTTTCTTCCTTTTTTCCTCCCTCTCTTTCTGCTGTGCCTTTTCAAATGAAAGAATAATTCAATTTGAAACAGAGATCCATGAAATCATATCCCTAAGCAAATTACAAATTGGTAACTAATGAAAATGGCCATTTCGACTTGTAACCATGACATTGCACATCCTTGTACCCCTTTCAGTCTGATACAGCGCCGATGTAATTAAGTGTGGCATGACAGGCTTTTAAAGAGAAGAGAAGAAGGAATTGAATTGGTGTACAAATTTGATCCACTGATCAGGAATGGAATAAATTCAAGTGCCTCCAGAACAGAGGCTTGCCTCAAATTGAATTTTCTCACTTCAGTGGCAAATTTGCCATTTCACATTACCAGTATTTCGCTTTTTCTTAATTTCCATAGTAGATTTCTGCTTAGTGAGTCAAAATGGTATGACTTTAATAGTTTAGACTTAAACATGACCCTAAAATGAAATTCATGATTATTCTTTTTGTTAAAGTTTTTGCAAAACTTTATTATTAAAGTTAGAGGGGAGCACAGGCATGCTGATCGAGTAAGGTTTTGGGGGGTATTTGCAGTCTTATTAGGTGTCCCTTCATAGTGCAGGCTACTAGATTTGCTTATTTTTTGCTAGCGGCAAACCAGAAAACTAAATGGAAAAATGGAAATGGAAAAAACAGGCCGTTTTTTTCTTTTTAAATATCATTTTTTGGGGGGCATTTTAGCCTTTATTTGATAGTAGAGAGCTGAAGATAAACAGGAAAGTTGAGGGAGAGAGAAGGGATGTGCAGCAAAGGGCCGCAGGTCAGTCTTGAACTCGTGCTGCTGCGCTCTAGCCGTGTAACATATGGTCACCCACTCACCCACTGAGCTAAACTGGCTCCCAAACAAGCTTTTAAACTGCAGCGAAAGCTATAACTATTATAAAAAAATATGTCTAATAACTCCTCTGGTACTCACTCTCATTCATCCAGCCACTACTCTTGGCTGTAGCTATCATTTCTAGTCGATTACTCCCTGTAAAATGTAATGTGAACTTACTTTGTGGACAGTTTTGTGGCCTAATGTGCGTAGAACAGATAACCTGATGTAACAGATGGTTTGTTGCACAGAACCATCTGGGAAACAATCCTTGTTTGTTATAGGGAAGAAAACAGCACAAAAAATACACAGCGGATGACGAGATGAACCTTCTGTATGTCAGTGTCTAGTTCAGGCGAACGTCAACCAGTCACATCAACAAACCGCAGCTAGAATCACAGTAACTTTGTAAGAACGTCTTCTTCTTGCTCATACAAAGCTGATTGGTTCAAACCACTGCAGTCACCTGGCAAGACTGGGTCTTTTGTGATTGTGTCTTTTAAGAATCCAGCATCCAAGAAAGGTTATGTAACAAATTAAGCATCAAATAATCTACTTGACAGGAACAAATGTGGTCCGACTTCTTTTTAAGCACTACTGCCTAAACGCTGGTGTGTTGGCTGATCTGAGCATGTCATTTCCAGTCTATAGAATAACTGTATGTTCCAGCGTGTGTTGTTTGTCAGAGATTGACAGCTAACATGGGCCTTCTGCAGATATACTGGAAGTATTGGCAAATAGGGTGCTGCAATCATTTTTATATATGCTGTAGAAAAAGATGCTTGGTGTAAGGACAAAATGCAATCATCACAGACTTTGCCCAACCCACTTTGTGCAGCACATGTAGCATGCCGGCTAATATATGAATCTCTGATGTGTTTCTTTCATGAATTTCTGCAAAAGCCTCTGCTAACATCACCTATCTCCATAAACAACAGTAAACATTCATATAATTACTACTTGGATGATTTATAGCCTGGTTTATGTCCTTATGGTTGTATCAGCAAGTTAACACAGCAGGAAGAACAACAGGTTGACACTTCTCTTGCTTCAATTTTTTGTTGTTGCTATGTTTGCTAAGTACCTCTTCAGTGCTTTCATCTGTGATGATCAGTCTGTCATGCTGTTACAAAATTGGCAGTTGGAAACTAAAAAGCCTAATCAGTCTCTGTACACATTAAAGGAAAAAAAATGAATAAATGAGTGAAAGCAGATGTTCACACATAGAGCAAAAAAGGGTCACTGAATGGTGGGTCTGTAAGGGGGGAAGGGTTAAAGTAGGGTTATCTCCTGTACAATCCAAAGAAGCTGCATTGTTTTGTTTTTCTTGCAGACGGATGCAAGGACTGTCCCTTCTATGGTGTGTGTCTGGTGGAACAGCTGAGTGCCCGCTGCTCTTGTGATCCCATCGAGTGTGACGGCACCTACAAGCCTCTGTGTGGGAAGGATGGTAACACATACACCAATGACTGTATGCGACGCAAGGCGGAGTGCCTGAGCAAGACCCCCATCGCCACCAAGCACCTAGGACCCTGTGGTGAGTAGAGCTGGAGACTAGGAAAGGGTGGGTGGTGACCTGGTGGTTGGGATTCCTCCTTCTTTGGCTTTCGCACAAACCAGTGCTGAATCCCTGTCTTGGTGTGTCTTTCTCTGTGTATTTGTAATCCAATTTCAGTCTGTTTTTCGTGCTGAAGAGTCTAGGCTGATGGTACGTTCGTCTGTACTTAAAACTTTCCTGAAAAGTATCTGAAACGGTTGGGTGATGTCCTCTGAGTGGGGGAGGGGTGGGGTGTACATTCAGAAAGGATGGGTGTGCCAAAAAACAAAAACGGTGCCTTCAATTCGTCACCCATTCACCTCCCATCCATCTCCTCACCCCTGTCACGCTTCATCCCAGCATCTCAAACAGACAACCAAAATGAAACGCCACCTTCATGTTTCATTCATCCGCCCTCCGTCTTCTACTCCTTCACTGGTGCCAGTCTTCCACTTCAGTGGCTTTTGTCGTTTTTTCCTCCCTTGTCTTTGTCTTTTTGTCTTGTGTGCTCTTCTTGCATAAAAAAAGCTATTCTTTCTTGTTTCAGTGCGTCAGTCAGTCTGTCTGTCTATGTCCATTTGGCCGGCTTCCCGGTTGTCTGGCTGCAGGTGGCAAGTGGGGTCACCCAGTGGGCGACCTCATCAAGCGGATTCTGAGGGGTGAAGCCCTTCCCCTCGCTCCGTGCGGACCTAACAGGAGGGGTCTTGTACTGCTGTCTTTTTCCTCTCACTCTTTCTGTCTCTCTGTGTGTCTTTGTGGCATTAATGTCTTTTCCTTCTGTTTACCCTCCAGCAAAGATGTGATTCCTGAGGTTGGAGAAGTCTCCCTCTCTCCTCTCTGTGTTTTATTTTCAACCTAACCTGCCTAACCGATGCATACCTCTGGTTAATCTCCTATTGCATGTTCAAATTGCACGCCAGATCCCAACCTAACAGCTTCCCAACGAATCCCCCCCGCTCCATCAATCAGGATTGTGTCGTAAAAAGCTTGCAACAATGCACCAAACCACATGTAAGCATGATTCCTGCAGTAGGGCTGGAGTTCAGCTGCATTTTAATGAAACATTTTATATCCTACAAGGTCTTGAAAATACGATCATTCAGGTATGTGAGGATTTAAAATTCATTTCTGGATTGAACAGAAACCCAGTGAAGGGCTGAAGTATATGGTAGCAGTAGTAGTAGTTCTACTAGTAGTAGTAGTAATTATAGTTTAATCATATTTTACACAGCTTTTTTTAGAATGTGTTATTTCGCTAGAAAATTTACATTTTGTGCAAATCTGCATTTATGTCTTCTAGAACTGATGTTGCTAAATCAGAAAAATGAAGCCACTCGATTTTGCTTTGGTATAGACACTGTCTAGCGGAGCGCATGTTAATTACGCAGAGAACATCCTTAGTGAAAACATTAAAAGACTGAGGTCAGGGTGGCTGTATGTGTAGGTAACACAAGAGGTTTCTCCTGTTGTACATCAGCTTCTTAACGGTCAACACCATCGCCACAACCCTGCCTATCCTTAACCATCCCCTTCACTTTAGTTTATTTGCTATAATTTCTCTGTTAAGCTTAAACCGTCTCACGGTGGCACAGATATTGTGAAAAATAAATGATTTTCAAAACATTAAACACTGTAATTGAACAAAATCCGATTTAATGCGGAGCTGCCCCATATCAACATTCTTGCTGGTGAAAGTCTGCCAGCTGAATGTATTGTGAATTGCTCTTTGTTAATAAAAGAAGAATGAAGAGATTTGTTAGCCTCTAAGCTTAGTGAGCCAACCTTAAGCTGCACACACTTCATTCAAGGTTCGGTGTGTAAAGCAGGTTGGCAGGATTTCAACCGATATCATAAGATGTTCAAGGCCCATTCTGTTCTCGGCACTGACACGCTCTGTCTAGCGTGTTTCCTCGTGTTAAAGGGCTGATTTAAAGGGTTGATTCACCCAAATTAAGATGACATCTGTTTTAAAGCTGTAGCGCAGAATGCACCAATATTTTTAATCATGTGTCATTTACGTATCCGAGTGTCTCTGTGATCATTTTTAGAGATGATTTGAAGACCTCGTCTTGAGTTAATCTTTTTCAGAGTCAGGGTTGTTTTTTTTTGCTCTTTCCCATCACAACGCTGATAGCCCAGCATGCGTGATAAAGCTGGAGTAATCTGCTCATGCTTTTCGGTGTGACATTACCTCAAACAAGAAATCCGCCCAACAGACGCGTTGTGTAATCACGTTCAGAGTTGCTGTCCGCATTTTTATTGTTGTTGCGACAGAGGCCGATAAAACGAGAGAAATCCGTCCATCCTCTAGGCACTGGGGCGAAGCTGAATACCAAAGTTATCTCCAGTCGTCAGCGTCAGGAGACACCAAAACTCATTTGCATTATTCGGCCGTCTGAGCTGTGAATAAATTAAATAGTGGAAATGGCAACGCGAGCGCTTATATATTTTGCTCTGTTTCATTATTTCTGGCAAATGCTGCCTCAGTTCAGCCCCCTCCCCTCCCTCGTTTGTTTCGCTATTTTTTTTTCTCCCCCCTCGCTCTTCATCCTTTCCTCCCTTCCACTGCGCATCGCAGCCGTCAGCGGATGGTACTATGTTTCTTTAATGCATTTTTATTGACATTTGCATATTTTTCAAAACACAGCGCCACAAACGCCACCGCCCCCCGATACGGTTTTAATTAAACATCAAAAGAGGCAAGCCTAGGTGCCCACTGAGACTGTTGGTTTAGTCAGACAGATGATATGCATGCAAGGAGTGTGTGTGTGTGTGTGTGTGTCGGTGTTTCCATGTGTTTAATCACATTAGAACTCTCACTCTTAATTTTTCTTTTTCTTTCTTTCTTAAATGAAACTATATTCAACCTTGTAGCGTGTAGATCTCTCACTGTAAACCAAAAAAGATTCACCTGACAGATGCACATAATTTAAGGATGTGAGCATCTTCCGAACTGACTTCCAAAGCACTGAGTTCTCTTAAAAATCAATCGATAGCCTATCAGAACGCACGTGCCAACACACTTGCAGCCATGACAGTACTGTCAAAGATCAAATCAGAATGAGAGCTGTGTCAAACAGTCCCACGCACTCAGTTGCCCACCATGTCAAGATTATAGGCAAAGTTTCATGTATCTGATCAATTAAATGAGTGGTATTTAATAATTTTTGAGCTTTTTCATTTCATTCTCTTGTTTCACTGGTTGAGTGGTGGGTTAGGTGGAGTGATCGATCACTCTGCCAGCTGTCAAACGGATGAAATTCTCCAGTTTTGACACAGTCATAAATCTCTTCTCATGTGGGTGACAGCCCTTAATGTCACCCCTCCCCTGCCGGTACTCACCCCCACAATGGATTGTGCTGTAAAGAAACCCAACATGTCTATAACGTCCTGACGGCTGTCCTCCCTAGGGGGAAAACCCCCCCAAATTGATTGATATCCAAACCTTCAATTTAGAGATGAAGACACCACGTGACGTTTAGCTGATTTACTTAAGTCCAGACAGAGTCACAAATCTTCCAGATGTCTGTAAACACGCGAATGACTTTTGCTGGAAATGAATCAGAGTAGACTGCTGGGAAGGAGGACGGACAGGTCAGCAGCCTTGGTTTCTAAGATGGAAACATAAGAGTCGTTTGGCACCAACAGAGGAAAAGATCTATCAACTTTTAAAGAGGTTAAATTATTTACTGGACTTTGTGTGACTTATTCATAGACCAGGTTGCTGTTCTACAGTACACACACACAGTTTTAATAGCAGGTTAAAACATAATTGCAACCCCGACGTGCAGTCGAACTTGCCTTCATCCGACGTTTGAATAAAATGCAAGAAAATGTCTGCAGTGGTTAATTTGAGATTGATTGTAAATCTCCACAGATGGCCTCTATTAAGTGTTTCACACTACACGCGAATATTTTTAGGCTAATGCAAAGAAATCCTGTTTTTCTTCCCCTCTGTCCTCCATGATGTCAGCACAGCAGGCTATCAGCAGAAACTAAGCAAGGAAGTGTGCATGTAGCGTGGTCTGTTGTTGCAGAAATGTTCTTGTATTTTCAGCTATATTTAGAGGACCGAGCAATGATGGGAGACTCTTTGATGTTTGAGTCTATTGTATTCTGATTCTATAAAATTTCCCCATTGATAAAGGTGATGTGAAATAACAGAGCAACTTAAAGTGCTAGCTCCTGTATTTACGAAGTATATTTGCTATGCCTTTCTGCCAAAAAAGACACTGAGTCAATCTGAAGCTGAAAACCAAAAAAGCAACACGAGACAGCCCATTAATTGGAAGAAAGTATCTTTTCAACAACTTTTTTTCCCCACATAAATGATTGTGCTTGTTAAAATGCCTTTAAAAAAAGGAATCTATTTATTTGATATGAGGGAACCAGACTGTGTGTAAAATTAATTACTTTTGCAGTGAAAATGCATAATTAAATCTTTGCCTTCTCTCCTCTATCTTGGCCCAAAGTTGCGCTGCAGCTTACTTCCTGCCCAGCGGGCATGCTATTTTGGTGCATATTCAGTAGTAATCAATGGAAAAGACTACAGGAGTGCATAGCTGCTCACCACAGGTCCCTGGAGCCCGTTCATGTACTAGCCTCACGTCTGGTATTAACAGAATACGAAGTAGAGAGGGCCCTCTGAATTGGTGGTTATGTTGTTCATAAAACAAAAATACAAGCAGCAGAGTTGCTTTTTAGCACATAAAGGAGAATGATTCAGTAAAATCAGTAACACAAGGCAGCCTATTAGAAACACACGCACACATAAACAAGGAGTGAACAAATGAAGGAGCTGGTTTTGAGGACACAAAATCTTTAACCGCGGCTCTTTTGTCATTTCGTGTGTACACAGCTGTGTGCGAGAGAGCGAGCGAGCGCAATCACAAGTGCAGAAAAGCTCACGCAAGTGCAAGTTGCTTGAAATGTGTTGCCTGTCGCCTCTGGAGGTTAACACAAAATCACTCAGTGGAAGACACATTGTCATTGACAAAGAGCTCTGCAAAGCAGGAAAGAAAAAAATCTGTCACCTTAGGTGTCAAGACTTTGTGCAGAATATTTTATCATTTGCATGTTTATTTGATGAGCATCTCCCCCCTGCGCGTTTGTGATTGGACTAACAAACAGTCGCGAAGCCTGAGTGTGTAAGTCAGCCTGAGATCACCAGTGCTGTTATTGCTAATCAAGTTAATTAGAGGAAGTGCCGCGGGAGCCTGATTGACGGCAGCTAGGGACCGCCGGTCCACTTACTGCGGCCCGCAGGCTGTCATTGAGCAGAAATTGCAGAGAAATGTGGGTCAACGGGGTGTCAGGAGTGACTTGAGGCGGGCTTGGTGTTCCGTTGGGGTGTGATCAGCCATGCAGTTCTTTCAATTTCAACAGTTTTCTTTTCATTTTTTAAAAAATGTCTTCCTAGGCCTTCCTCGTGCTGTAGCTCCTGATTTGATCGGAGATGCAGTAAGTGAAGCGAACTGGTGTGCCGTTTTTTCTTTGCTTTTTTAAACTTCCTGCAACATACACACCCTAATGACTAGATCACCACCTTTTTTGGATTAGACCAACAATATTTGCGTGTCATCTCATCTCTGACGGATATATCTCAAAAGATCAGGGGATGCCAGCTTGTGTCCCCTCCCCGTGTTATTTTTGCTCGTCTCTATTTTGAAGAGCAACACATTCTTAGTTGTACAAGCACAAAGAGGCTTCGACTCACCTCCTGCCTGTGATAAGTATTCAGTGGTAGACAGACACAGCCTGCGGGTATGCCTTTTGCTGTATGCTAATATAGCCTTTTCTCTGCACCTCCCTCTCCCTCGACTAATATGATACATAAATGTTTTTAATGTGAGGGAGGTAAAGGGAGTCGGATCAAAGCCCTGGCAGTGGAGACACACAGAAGGCGGGATTTTGCTGCAGATTGGCTGCGCCCTATTGGAATCCTGTGTTGTAATGGGTTGCAGTTGTAGGTGATTATTCCTGCCAGTTGGCCACTGCAAGCATCACCTGGATTACACTGATTCACTGCCCTGCATAATATAGGGAATGATTTGGAATTGCACACAGACCCGAGGGGGGAAAAGTCCAATTAACATATGTATGAGCTGAGCGGAGATGGGAGGAAACGCTCGCCAAAATAATCTCCCAGCATTTCAGCGACATGTTACGGTGGGGTTAACAGTGTGGGCCCGCTGACTGCAGCAGCCACAGTCACAGCTGAGTCTGACCGGAGCGCGCCGTGCCATCGTGCAACCTAACAAGGAGCCGTTAAGCTTTATAAGCAGCACTGTGGTGTCCTTGGCACTTTATCTGTCATATAACTCCACTAAGTGAGCAATAATAAGACTTCAGGCAGACAGGTAAGCAATCAGGGAATCAGAGGAACGTGTCCTCTCAATATTTGACGTGGTCTGCTAGTGACACTGCGGCCTAACCCGAAGTAATCCCCTCCTGAGTCCTGAAGTGGAGGCATGCTATTAAAATACCGCACTAATTAAAATGGATAAATTTACATGCCTCCTAGCAGGAGAGGATACAGACTGAGGCGACACCCGGAATGTAAAGTCCTGTCAGCCGGTGTGGTAGTACAGAAACAGAGCAGATTACACACTAGCAGAGCTGAATCCTTGATTGGAGAAGGAAAAAAACAGAGAGGGAAAAGTATTCGTGCCTTTTTTCTTCTCCTTCCACTTTTCTCTATCCATGAGAGACAATTCACTGCACCTGCTCAGCCACTAAAACAATGCCTTGGCTACTGTGCTATGTGTTTGGCACCTCCCATCTAACTGTCAAGCTAATTTTCGTGCATAAAACAGAACAGTTTAAAGCCAGAAACTATGGTGTATTCTGGACTTGCCTGAAAGAAGGACTGATACATGCATGAAGAGATGGATTTTTCTATTTGGGAGAAGACCAGAGAGCGAAAGAGAGCTGGAAAAGGCTTGTGAGCGACCAAGCTTAGGCCCGCCATTTCAAAGCTTCTCCCTGCATCCAAGGGAAAGTAAAAAGACAGCTTCAGTTCTTTTTTTAACTGTGTCACAAGATTCTTTTTACACTTGGGGAGATTGTCTTTTTTTCCACCCTCGTATATTGTCTCCAGTTAATAAATCAGGCAGAAATTTTGCCCCCCAGAGGTGGAGGATGATAAAAAAAATAGTTTTGGAGGGGAATTCTTTCATCTTTTTTATGAGTGTGAAACAAAGAGAATGGGAGACAAAGGCCTTATCGGAGGCTGCAGTTGTGTTTTAGGAGCCCGTCCTTGGGAAGTGGGCTGGTGAACTTTAATGCAGGCCAAGGTTGTACAGTTAAGCTCGGATCACAAGCGTACAACGGTTACACGCACTTGGAGACACACACACACACACACAGACACAAGGCGTTGAAATGAGATCACAGGGAATCAATTGTTTTTGAAGCGGCACCGAATTAAGCGGCATTGAGCAGCTTTCATATTTATGTGGCACCTCCGAGCTCTTTTGAAAAGCCAGCTCGCCTTCCCAACGCAGAAATCAATAACGGTGTTTCACCCTTTAATCTGAAACACTCACCCTCGGAAATGAGAGCGCCCGTGCCCGCGCTCGAGATCGGGAAAGATTTGCTCAATTACAGTTGTGGGAAAACAGTAGGCGGTCGTGGACAAACTATGTTACATCTGCTCTCATTTTTATTTTAATATCTGCAGTTCAGCTCAGGAGTGATCATAATTCAGACAGATGAGCCAAATGATCTGTCTTACGTAGATAACACTGATCTTTATCCCACATACCCCCTTTCTTTCATCAGAGTGCAACAAGCTAATTGCCACCGTCTGCGTTATCAGTTGATAATTTCCCCCCTCGTGTTAGCGCTACGAGTTGAGGCTCAGCTGAACATCCCTGAGCTGATAAATGAATCATGGGGCTTCGCACATGCCAAGTCAGCCCCCCACCCACAACACCCCCGTGTTACTATCTAATCCCATAATGGTCTCAATAATGATGGAGCCATGGGTGGCGTCATTACAAAGGGCAGTTTCCATGACAGCACCTCTACTCATCTAACCAAAGCTCACAAGAAAGGTGGCGCAGAAGGAGGAAGCAAGTTTTGTTTCGCTTTGGTTGTGAAACGGCACCACTTTCCATTTCAACCACGGCTTCTCATCAGAAACTATTTGATGCCTCCGTCTGCGTTTTCCTCTAATCTGCAGACACACCACATTTAGCAGAGGGATCCGTTCCTCATGCGTGAAACTTTCTAAATGAAAACCACTACGGCGCCAGGCTATCATCTTTCGCTCGCTCTCGATACCGGAGTGCGCACCATCCCACCTAAGGCCTCAATCTTCCGACCGTCGGGCTGAGCCGGCAGCGCTCGCGCACGCATGCCGGCGCCCCCGACTCAGAGAGCACACGATGCCATATAATATTTTCCCTGGTACATAAAGCTTTAAAGAAGTGATGGGATGGGAGGCTGTGATCAAAGCGTTGTTCACGCCCATTTTTTTTTCGTCAGGTTTTCACTCTGTTCTGATCAAGTCAGGTTTTATCAGCCCCGGCCTACACCCATCTGCCGCTACCAGAACCATGGGTGCAAAATCCTGTCCTCGTTTTAATGAAGTCATGCTGGAGTTAGCGTGTGAGGAGAAAAGACTGAGGCAGACACCTCTCTCTGATGTTCACATTTCATATCTGCCTCTGCCCAGGAGCTTGCCTTTTTTGAATTATTAAGCAGAGGGCTCTTTCTTCTTTTCGCCTATTTCTTTCTCTTTTTAATTCTCTCACTCTCTCAAAAAGCAAACTCTATCCCTGGTGCTCTTCCTTTTCTTGCTCCTGCATGTCAGTTCAACCAGCTTTGGCTGAAGCAATGGCTCTCACTGAGATGCAAATGGCAGCCTTTGAAGGGGCACACTGGGAACGTCAATTAATCCAGGCGTTTACGCACGGGGGAAAAAAAAAAAGGCAGTGCAACCATTGTTCGTAGGCTGTTTCATCTCTATTGTGCTACAGGGACATGTTTTTATCCACTGTCCTCGTGCCTCCGGATTCCGTGGACTCTTCAAAGATTCAGGATACATCAGGATAGGTACAAAGGCAAGGAGATGACATAGGAAACTAAGGAAGTTGAGGTGACACAGGACTAGGGCTACATTGCATATTCCATCATATCTGTGTTTCTCCCTAAACCCTTTCTAACACAAAAACCAGCGCTTCTATTTGTAGCGATATTCTAACTTACCTCACTATCACCTGTGCTCTTTTGCAACCCCAGACTTCTCTCCAACCTCAACTTTATATTCTCCCCGACCACTAAGGCTGTACTGTTTGCTACCATGCCTCTAACTGTGATCTCTGTCTCTTGGGTGGTCGGCCTTCAGATCTCAACATACCGAGCCCGTGCTTGCATGTAGCGTGCAGTCACGGGGCAGAGTGTGTGGTCAAGAACAACGAAGCGGTGTGCGAGTGTTCCGAAGCCTGCCCGCAAACGTCCGACCCCGTGTGCGGATCCGACGGCCAGACCTACGGCAGCCCCTGCGAGATGCGATTGATGGGTTGTGCGCTGCAGAAGGAAATCAGCATCCAACACAAAGGACCCTGCGGTGAGTACTCACTGTCACAAAACCCAAATATAAAAGTGCTTGCATCTCAGTAATGAATTTCAAATTAGCGTCATGCTCGTACGGTCACATTGCCCCATGCAGTCAGCTATAGTGAGGAGACATGACTGTGAAATGCTGTGAATCATAGCTTACAGACATGGAAGGATCTCGGAATATGATTTAGCAAATTAATTAATAGCACCACAATGCGGAGAGGCAAAATTATAATCCACAGACGTTAACAATTAGCACACATAACTTTATATTCATGTGTGACCCCACTGGGAGCCGTTTCAAATCCAGCAAAGGCAAATCAATACTTAACACACTGATGAATTTCATGATCCCTTGTCCATTACTCTTTATCTGTTCCTCTGTGCTCATCATCAGCCCTTCTATAGCAACACCACAACTCCAATTTGCCTGTTTTGACCTTTAAGTGAAGATGCACTTTGCTTTTGATGAAACAGAGCGCGGTGCATATTTTTCTGTAATTGGCTACATGAGTCACTTGGCTTTGTCTTTCACTGCCGGAGTATCAGCTAGTCATTAGTATACCAGCGACAGCAGAGCTTCAAGTGGTAAAAATATCTCTATACCCACTATGCTGGCACACAGCCATACGGACAGGTTTTTGCAGCTTGGTAAAGCCACTCAGTGAGTACTCCGTGGCATAATGCCATTTTGCAACGCCAATTTTCCCATGGACTCTAATTGGTTATTGAGTATTCTTGCTTGTCTACAATCAAGTCATTCACTTTTTACTCAAACTGGGCAGAAGTACAGTGGCTGTTAGCCCCATGGCCAGACTGTCTGTGTAACTCAATTTTAATGCAATAGATTTTTTTTTCCTGCATATTTTGACGACAGCAAAAGTCTGTTGGCCTCTGCAGTACTGTATTTGTGGATGAGATGAGCAGTTTCAAACACGATCAGTGCAGCACAATCAGTTTGCTCTTCGTGATCTAAAGTGTGAAAAGATTTTATGGTTGTTACTTATTTATTTATTTTATTTTTTGCACAAAGGAACCAAAGTCTTTTAACAGAGCTCGTTTTTTTAGAGTTTTATACTTAGAATGACAGAGTTAGTTCCTGGAGAGTTGCTATGTGGACTCTCTGCCTGCCTGTGTACTACATCTGTCATCCTCCCCTCCCAGCTTTCTCTTAATTGAACTCCAGCGTGTAAGGATGTATGCCGCAGAGAAACAGATCTAAAGCAGTGTTCAGTTGGTGGGCAGACACGTCAGTGCCACACCACAGGTAGACGGCTCGGAGTCCCTCCGCGGTAATGAATAGTCTTTATTTTAAAAAGCGAGAGGCAGGACGAGCTGGCGGGGCTGAGGGACTCTGTGTGTAATCCAGCACTATGGATGGTTCTTGGCTCCCAGAGGAACAGGCCTGCGTCAGCGCAATGGTGCCATAAAAATGCTGAGGCATTGGCTTGCCAAGCGCGAGCCAGTCGAGAAATGATGGCGATGATAATGTGGGTTATTTCTGGGCTGTTTGCACAGCTTTACTGGGCTTTTATTCAGCACCATAACAACTGACTGACTTAAGCTATTATCTCACCTAATTATCACCAGCTATTCCCTTCACTAATATACTATACAGGTTCACGAGGCAGAAAAGGAGCGAAACAATATGTGCTGCCTTCAGGTGGAGTCGGAAGAATAGGAATTAAGCGTTAAAGATATATGCACAGAAAGAAGGTGAATAAAATGAGAATGTCTGACCTTTGCACTGCAGAAGAGCAGCAGCACTGGTGTTAATTAGGCTTACAAAATATACAGACTGTGCAAAAGTCTCGAGCCCCCCCTCATTTCTTTAGATTTTATTTCCAAGGAGCCAGACCTTCTTATATATGTGTTTTTTCTTTGTCAGTAATTCTCCAGAAGCTCTTTTGTCATTTTTATTTGGACATTGGCTGTTTTTTCACACATTTTCAGTCCATACCTTGTTCCTGACCATTTTCAGATAAGTGTTTTTTACTTGTTAAGCCACTTTACACTGCTATGATTTACTCAATTTCATACCAAAAAGGCGATTACCAAAGAGTTATTATCTGACAGCTTTAACAACAAAAGAATAATTGGCAGGATTAAACAACTACAGCAGATCAATTGTAGCTAAAAGTCATGTCCTTAAGAAATAGGAAAACAATAAGGAGACATAGGAAACGATCCAAGATGCATCTGGACCTTCAGCTAATGCTCGCCAAACCTTCATCAGAAATAGTCCCAGTGGAAGAGTGGCCATCAAGAAGCCATCTTTAAGTGAGGTAAACAGCGAGAAAAGGCTGAGATATGCCAAATTAAACAGGACTTGGACTGAAAAGTGAAAAGTGGCAACGGGTCTTATACATCAGGATATACATTACTGTACTGTACAGAGGAGGTCAGTAGAGAGGTGGGTGTCTACATTCATCTGTAAAACATGGTGTAACCTCTCTAAACTAAATGCCAGTGTAACTGCCAGTAAAAGCATACCTGGAAAGAAAAGAAAACCCACAGTGGAACACTATCAGTCATGTACTGGCCTCCCCAGAGCCTAGACCTCGACATTAATGAAGCAGTGTGGGATCATCATGATAGAGAATGGAACAAAAGGCAGCCAAGATCCAAAGAAGAGCTTTGAATGTCCTTCAGGAAGCCGGAAGAACTATTCCTACTTAAAGACATTACAGAAAGTCTACATAAGAGAGTTCAGGCTGAGTTGAATAATAAAGGTGGTCATACCAAATATTAACTTTCAGCCTTATTAGAACTGTAAAAGCTCAAACTTTACTGTTGCCTTACTTTGTGTATTTCCATGTGTATTTGAATTTGTTTGAATAAATCGGTGCACCTGTTTCCCATTTTCCTAACAAAATATAAAGAGATGAGGGGCGGCAGTACTGTTGGTCTTTATATTATTTCATTTATATGATTTCCCGAACACTCACCAAGGAAAGGATGCATTTGTTTACTGTTGCCGTTTTGTTATTTCCATCCAAATGCTCTATAGTGTGTACGCTGTCATATTTATGGCTGCCAGGCTCAGAAGTAGGAGCTTAGGTGAGGCTGTGAGGGTAGCAATAGTGTAACGGGTGAGAGAAGTGCCACAACAGGGAACTTAACTGTGTATGTGTGTGTGTGTGGGCAGCTTATTGCCTCTCATGGGCCCAGACATAATTTCATTTCTATCCCTCCGGCCTGGAAACATAGTGGTTATCTATATGGCTCAGGTGCAACCTGATAGCAATATGAGTGACATTTGTTATTATTCAGAGATTTTTCCTCCTCCTGCATTGGAGTGGCGGGCCACCTTGTAACAGGGGCTGGAAGAGGTACACTTGGTTAATAGACCCCCCAGCTGGATATCAGTCACCCCAGGAAAAAAGCCCATTCATGCTGACTTCCCAAACAGATGAGAGCAGAGGTGCCTGAATCATTTGAGAAACAGAAATAACAACTTCCCCTTTTTTCTCCCACAGGTGTTGGAAATGATATTCTCAGTTGAGTAAGAAATATAGGTCACAGAGGCAGCCTGTGAGAAAAAAATGAGAGAATAAAAGAGGGCAGAGGGAAAAAGGGAGGAGAATGTGATAAATGTTCATAGGAAAGGAGATGGAGGTAAATAAGATGATGAGGCGCAAAGAAAGTGGGGGGCAGAGTTAATAGTGTGCTGGCCAGGCATGCATCAACAGGGGAGTTGTTATCACCCAGGCATGTTCACAAGCCTTCAAAACACAAAGCAACATGCTTCTTTCTGTTTAATCCTGAGGTACTACTCCTCCCAGACCCCCTCAGCTGCAGTTCAGGTGTTCCCCAGTAAGGATATCTAAAAAATGCTGTAAAGCTGGAGGGTCTTTGTTGTTGTTTTTTCTGTTCAATGAGTCAGTTCTTTATGTTTTCAAGGACACTTTTCTACCAACCCACTCCTGTTCCTCCTTCTCACCTTCAGCTCCACAAACACTTTGTCCAAACACAGCAGCACAAACTGTTAAAGTGCAAAGTTGCTAACACCAGATCTCTGGGACTCCAAGGGGACCTTGACAAAATATTAGCAGGTCCTCATCCAAAGGAAGAAAGGTTTTCTTTGATAGTTAAAGACATGCGTGAGGATATTATGAAACCCTGATTCCAAAAAAGTTTGGATCCCATGTTCCCATGTTATTATAGGGGCGATCGTGGCTCAAGAGTTGGGAGTTCGCCTTGTAATCGGAAGGTTGCCGGTTCGAGCCCCGGCTTGGACAGTCTCGGTCGTTGTG